TAAAATGAAGTAACTAATGGAAATGATTTGGTAATGCATACATGATCTCTGTATTGCTTGATTAATGGGAATATGCCTTCTCTTTATTCATGAGTGAGTTTGGGTAGAAAGAATCTAATAGGCTTGCTCAGCCGGGTTCACTCGGTTGAGCGCCGGTCGCGCTCCCCGAGTTTGGGGCGTGACAAACTTGGTATCAAAGCTTAAGGTTTTAAAGTGTCCTAGGATGTCTCGGAGCCGTGTCTAGTAGAGTTCTTCTTATCGGTGTGTTGTCTACCATATCTATAATGAGGAGGCTACTTGGATATTTAGGAATAATACCCTTCTTTGATGTTCTCTATCGTGCGATAGAGCTGGTTGTGAAAATGTTCCTCCTCTAACTCGTGCATTGCTCTAACTTTCAGTACATGGCACCTAAGAAGAAAGCAAGAGCTGGCCAAGGAGCCAATTCCGCCCCAGGAGTGGCAGTTGATTCTTTACTTGATGATGCGGGTGAGTACCCGAGAGGTGAGGATATTCCCCCGACTACTACACTGCCTGATTCTACTACACCTGAACAGAATGCACCAGTTCCTATATCTACTGAGGGTGCCGCGATTCCTCCAACTGACATTCTGGTTCCACCTCCAGCCCCAGCTTCCGATTTTGGTATTTTTGATGTGGATCTTAGGGGAGCCATACAGATGTTGACACAGATAGTGGCTTCCCAGGCCCAAAGATCAAATGTTGCACCTACTTCTTCTAGCCAGCAAAGGGATTCTGCTAGTTCCAAGGTAAACAGGTTTCTTCAATTAGATCCTCCAGTGTTCACGGGTGCTAATCCCGAGGAGGACCCCCAAGATTTCATTGATGAAATGCACAAGACTCTACGAGTTATGCGTGATACTGAGACAGAGGGAGCTGAGTTAGCCGCCTATCGCCTGAAAGGGGTGGCCTATTCTTGGTTTGAGTTGTGGGAGGACCCCCGTGGGGAGGGGAGCCCTCTAGTGAGGTGAAATGAGTTTGCTGACGCCTTCAGGATCATTTCTTGCCTGCCGAGACAAAGGCAGCCCGTGCCGCTGAGTTTGAGAATCTAAAGCAAGGTAATAAGAGTGTGTGGGAGTACCACATGGAGTTCGGGCGCCTGTCCAAGTATGCTATTCACATGCTATCCACTATGGAGGCTAGATTGCGTCGGTTCGTGCAGGGCCTTAGCCCCTTGGTTATCAATGAGGCCGCTATAACTGCCTTGAATTCTGACATGAACTATGGGAAGATGGTGGCATTTGCTCAAGCTACAGAGAACCGTACATTGAAGAACAGAATGGAGCGAGCGGGTAGCAGTATGGCCCGATCCCGGGCAACCTTGAAGATACATTTGGTGGTGGTAGGTTAGCCTTTAGGGGAGGGTCACCAGGGCCATCCCAGTCTTTTGCCCAGTCTTCAGCCAGTGCACTGCCATCAGGGCCCAGTCAGCAGTAGTGGAGTCGTTTTAGGCCCCATCAGGGCAACAATGGACCCCACCAGCAGGGGTGGCCCGGAGGGAGATTCCAGTAGCAGCGGAGGCCCCTATGCCCCAGGTGTGGGAAGATGCACTTAGTAATCTGCTACATGGACCTACCTATATGTTATGGGTGTGGAATGAGGGGTCATATTCAGAGAGAGTGTTGTTCATCGTGCCAGGGTGCGGGAAAGGGCACAACACAGCCATCCAGTCCTGCAGCTGCTACATCCTCAACACCCTCTCGAGCTCGAGGCACTCCACCACCCGCAGGGCGTGGTGCATTTAGGGGTGGTGCACAGAGTTCGGGAGGACCCATACGTTTCTATGCTATGCGTGGTCGCCAGAGTGCAGAGGCTTCTCCAGATGTTGTCACAGGTATATTGACTATCCAATCTCATTATGTGTATGCTCTTATTGATCCCGGTTCCACTTTGTCCTATGTTACTCCTTATGTTGCTATGGAATTTAGGATAGAACTGGAACAACTTCATCAACTGTTCTCTGTATCTACTCCAGTTGGTGAGTCTATTATGGCCGCGCCGGTTTATAGGGATTGTGTTGTCACTGTGCGTGGTCGGGATACCATAGTCGATATCATTGAATTGGGGATGGTTGATTTTTATGTAATAGTGGGAATGGATTGGCTTTATTCATGTTTTGCCAAACTCGATTGCCGAACTAGAACTATGAGGTTTGAATTTCCAAATGAGCCAGTTGTTGAATGGAATGGGGATAATGTGGTACCAAAAGGTAGGTTTATTTCTTACCTTGAGGCCACAAAGATGATTAACAAGGGGTGTATCTATCATTTGGTCCAGGTTACAGACATCGATGCTGAGGCACCTATACTTGAATCTGTGCCTGTTGTGAATGAATTTATGGATGTCTTTCCGGATGAGCTACGTGGGATCCCACCAGACAGGGAGATTGATTTTGGGATTGATGTGATGCCAGGCATGTAACCTATATCTATTCCACCATACAGAATGACACCGGCAGAATTGAAGGAGCTAAAGGAGAAATTGAAGGATTTGTTATAGAAGGGTTTCATCTGACCGAGTGTGTCGCCTTGGGGCGCACCGATTCTCTTTGTGTAGAAAAGAAAGT